TTGTATCTGTTTTCTAAATGTACCACATACTCTTTGACTGTTTCAGACTTTTTACTTGCGAGAGGAATATTTATATTTCTCTTCCTTCATGTAAAATAAGTATTGTTTTTACAGTATGTTTTTATCCATGAATGAATTATGCATTTCCTCTAGGCTGTCCCATTTGTTAGTAAGTATTCATATTAGTTTCTTATAATCCTTTGTATTTCAGTGGTCTCCAATGTAATGTCTGTTCTTTCATTTCCAGTTTTATCCATTGAATTCTTTTTCATATGTATTATATATATATACAAATAGATATCTCTTCCTGAGGGGTTTTCCTTTATATATATATATATATATTTTCCTGAGGGGTTACCGCTTTTGTAAGTATATAGTTTCATTACAGTTTTTTTTTTTAAGATTTATTTATTTGTACATACAGAACTGGGGTACAGGCCAGAGACTCAGGGGCAGTGAGAGACTTCACCAGAGACAGAGCGGGGAGCAGAACAGGCAGATCAACGAAGTACACTGCTGAGGGGAGCAGCGGGCGGGTCAGGAGAGGCCTGCCACGCCATGTGGTCTCCTCCGGGGCAGGCGGAATCGAGCTCATACAGAAGCGGCTTTAGATTCTCAGTGCTGTGCTTTAACCCCCTGCCCCCCCAGGAGGGACCACAGTTTTGTTTTAAAGTCTCTTTTATCTAATATGAGTAGAGTAACATAGACTTCTTTTTCATCTTCATTTTCATAGGATATTTTCCCATTCATTTTCAAGTCTATGGTTGTCCATGTCCCTGGTTTAAATATGAAATCACTGTTTCAACAATGAATTTATGTTACAGAATGATTTCCTTTATTTCTTTTACAATATGTCTGTACCCAATTATTCTGGATATCTTAAGATGCTTCTATTTCTATACATTTACTCATTATTTTTGCAAATATTATCACAAACGTGTTTTGTGTTGTGGGGCACTGTCTTCTCTTAGGAATTATTTAAAGGAGATCTTCTGTGGTAATAAGTTCCAAAGAGGAGGCAGCATTAAAGACAACTTTTTTAGATGTGGTCATCTGTTAGAAAATGAATCTCCTAAATTTAAAATCATTGCATTTCTTTTTTCATCTTTGTCCCAGGTGAACCTAAGAGCTGATGAGGAAATGATGGAAGCCAATCCCCCTGGTGTTACCTATATTACATAACACTCATCTGCCACCACCCAAGGCATCAGATATTTTTCCAATCTACGGTTTTCATGTACATCACCTCGGATTATCCCTGGTAAGTCCTTGGGCTTGATTCTGCACTGAGTGTGAGGAAATAGAGGGTTCATTTCAAAGAGAACATAATTCCATGTAGTAGAATAAGATACAAAGATGATTTTTAAAAGATATAATTGAAGTTCACAGTAGCTGAATCATAAGATGCCAGGAAGACTTTGTCTTATGCTTTTCAAAATAGTTTTGAATTAGTGAATGGCAAACTGGATGACAAATTTTAAAGTGAAGTTGGCAATATTAGGACTTTTTGATAATAAGTGAATGGCAGATTTATTTCTTAAAGGGTCAGGAAATTTCACACATTTAGAAAGAAAGATGTAGGGAAAATTATTACCCTATAAATTACTCTGGGGAAGTGCTCTATTCAGAGGAAATTTTCATCAAACATCTAAACTTATTCACGGGAAGGAAAGGATAAACTTCTATGAGCTAATAGCTTTTACTGACAGAAAAATAGGTTTTATGTTTCTAAGTACTGTAAATGGGTTATGTCATTAATTCTTACTGTGTAGATTAGTACTGCTATGTGTTTCTATCCATTAGTATTGTTTTTTGCAATAAAGGAATGGTAACAATTGCCATTTGATGCCAGGCAAGCAAAGCTGTTAGTGGTATCCAGAACTTAAACTCTCTTGAATATTTAAGATTCTATGCCATAATTGCCATGATTCTGACTGATGTGTATTATTGGAAGGTAGTTGGAATTTTATGAAAAATTTAGAAACAGGCACTTTGGGGCTCAATATAAAGATCTAATTGACATTTGAATTGTGTTATACAATCTCAGAAAACACAGAATTCCCAACAAAGGAGAGTATAAAACAGAAAGCAGTGGGCAAATGTCACAGATTCTACAGAAGTGAAAGATCACCAAGACAGTGGAACATTGGATTTGCACTTCTCTATCCCTTTAATTTTTTAGAGTATGAGAATAGCTTGAGTCAGAATTGATGCTGTGACAATAATGGTGAAGGGTTTAGGCTATGCAGAATATGCAAGTTTATCTTAGCATATGAATTTCAAAGATTAAAGATATTTTTCCTCCCTCTGCTAAATATATGCATATCTAAATACAGAAACTTGCCTCTAATCTTGCCTACTAGTCTAGCTTTCAGTAACTCTCATCTGTAAGTTTCTGTAATTCCTATCCGCAAACATACGTGCCTTCATTTTTTTGACTTTTCCCTATATCACAGTGAGTCTCATATGTCACATCTTTAATATTCTGTCTGGGTTACCACACATATCTTCCAACATGAATTCTTATGTGTAAGTTTCATCACTTAAGCCCTACATCAACCTACTAGTAGATTGTATTTTCAAAAGGTAATATGTTTGAACCAAATCAAAAACTAAGCAAGTTAAACATGATATGATGCTGTGACAGTTGTTTATATGCATTGAACCAAATAAGTTTGTATTATTATTTGTAATTTATGTATTTTACCTATTTGGTGAACTAAGAAGTTAACAGAGCAGTTGTTTCTATCACAATCAGAAAAAGAACACTGATTGAAATATCTATTAGCTATTATATTAAATCCAGTTTGATTTACTTTTACCCTGACATATATCATATTTTCAACTGAATTATAAAATCTCATAGGATACAATTATTTTTTCATCTTTCTGGGTCAATATTATTATAAAATTTAGATTCAAGTAGATTTAACATAAGGAAATAAAAATAATCTAAATGTTTTTAAAAATCTTAATGCTAGATGCAACACCACCTGTTTAATCAAGTATAGATGCTGCTTTATAAATTCCAAGCTTTTAACACAATGTAGATATTCATTATTACAGAATAAATAATTATATCTTTGTTTTGAAATTACTTCAAACAATTTGCAGAACTCATTGAAAATTTAATTTATGTATTTTTAAATAAGATTATTAGGAAATAAACATCTAGTTTGTATATAATACTATAATCTTCATGTTTGAAGATCTACTTTGATTCCTCAGTAAGAAATATTGGAAATTGGTAAGCCTTGCTGTTAGTGAAATGTATTAAGTATAAATAAATCCTACTGCTTTTGATCTAGATGCATTTTATCTACCCTTTCATAGAAGCACACAACGATACAAATATATTTACTTTGGTTTATGAATTTTGAAGTTTAGAGATATCTTTCCTTTCTTTACTAAATGTTGTTAGTCTGTATGCAAAAGGTAATAAAGTTTTTCAGGGGGGGAAGAAAGAATGATGGAATGAATGTAGTGATGATTTTTCTGTCCCTAATCTGTTGTGATAAGACATCCTTAACTTTCTGTAACTTTTAAACTAATCATTTCTAGAAAATGAGCTATACAACTAATGAAAGAAAATAGCTATGATTTTAAAATTATTATTTTACATGCACTGAAGTGGAAGTATTTTCTGTAAAAAGAGATCAATAGATGATAGGGCAGACCACTCCCCAAAGTTATAGGAAGTGAGAAGATATCCTCTTATGTGAGGTTATGGAAGCATACTATGTTAAGCATGAAATAACCAGTGAAGACAGTGATATGGACAGAATATAAGTCCTAGAAAAATTATTTCACTTGTAAAAAACAATCATAATTTTTGAGTGAATAGAAGATACATAAAATGTAAATAGAGAAAACATTTCCTTTATAGAGATTTCAGTTCTTTTAAACAGTAATAGGGCCCTCCCTGGTGGTGCAATGGACTAAGGCACAAACTGTGAAGCTAGCCTCAGCCAAGCCACCTTAGCATGAGTTTGATGCCCTGATGGGGAGGTGACCCACATTATATAGCAGACCTCTCCTATCTCACGCCCACTGCTCTTCCCTCAGCAGTGTATTCCATCAATCTGCCTGTATTGCTTCCCACTCTTTCTCTGGTGTATCCTCTCACCATGCCTGTACCCCAGTTCTATGTGCATAAATGAATAAATAAATATTAAAAAAATAGTTAATAATATATACCTCTCCAGATTTGGGAGATTGTAATAATGATCATTGATGGAAGCTGGAAGCACAGAGATGGCAGACTGGCACTTGAAATTAAATACAAAGCATAGTCCACAAGGGCATACTGAGAAAAGCTCTGAAAGGCACTGCAAAGGAAAAAACCCATGAACTCAAAAGTAATTGATTCAATTTCATGTAGAATAAGTGAGTAGTGGTATAAATATATGACTGGGTTTTTGGAACACAGTGCACATTTTGCAAATAGATGAAAGTATTCTGATGGCTTACTGGATGGGGAGCAAATTCTGAAGAAACTAACCTAGGAAAACAAGTTGGTGAGTTACAAAACTGAGACTTTTTCTGGCCAACTTGACTTCTGATTTTGATCATGTAGTCATCTATCACCACAGTGGATCTAGTTTGAAATATATTTAGACTGCATTAAACGATTCCCTCACCTCTCCAGACAGATGATGATTAGCAAGGACAAATCGGTTCTAGCACTCATAGACCAGAAATAATCATCCAACTCATTTCACTTATCAAAAATAAGTAAGCCACACTTAGTGATTAAGGTAGTGTTCACATCTCAGCAGAAATATTGGACCTGATAATTGACCTCTCAGTACTTTTGGGAAGATAGATATAAAATTAGAGAGCAGTATATTAGTTAGGAAAGATAAAAAGACAATCTCCTAACCTAATAAAGTACTGGTTATTGTGCTAAAATAAATTATTTTTATTTTTATTTCATGAAGGCTTCACAGATAATTGAAGATGAGGCAAAACCACTCCTCAAGTCGACAGATGAAATCACAATGGGCACACTGAATGGCTCCATCTTCATGCCTTCAGTACTAACTCTTGTTGGAATTCCTGGCCTGGAGTCAGTGCAGTGCTGGATTGGGATTCCATTCTGTGCCATGTACCTCATTGCTGTGACTGGGAATTCCCTGATTCTAGCTATAATCAGATATGAAAAAAGCCTTCATAAACCCATGTACATCTTTTTAGCCATGTTGGGGGTCACTGACATTGCACTTAGCACCTGTATTCTTCCAAAAATGTTAGGTATCTTTTGGTTTCATTTGACAGAGATTTCTTTTGATGCCTGCCTTCTGCAAATGTGGCTCATTCACTCATTCCAGGCCACTGAATCAGGCATCCTACTGGCAATGGCCTTTGATCGCTATGTAGCCATCTGCGACCCCTTGAGACATGCTACTGTGTTCTCCCAAAAACTCTTGACTTACATTGGAGTTGGGGTGACACTCAGGGCTGCCATTCTTGTAACTACAAGCCTAATGCTTCTCAAATGCCGTCTTAAATTCTACCGAACTACAATCGTCTCCCACTCTTACTGTGAACATATGGCCATCGTGAAGCTAGCTGTAGAAGACATCCGGGTCAACAAGATATGTGGTCTATTTGTTGCCTTTGCCATCTTAGGGTTTGACATAATCTTTATTACCTTGTCCTATGTTCAAATCTTTATCACTGTGTTTCAACTGCCCCAGAAGGAGGCACGATTCAAAGCTTTTAATACATGCATTGCCCACATCTGTGTCTTTCTGCAATTCTACTTGCTTGCCTTTTTCTCCTTTTTCACTCACAGGTTTGGTTCTCATATTCCACCTTATGTTCACATCCTCTTATCAAACCTTTACCTCATAGTGCCACCTTTTCTCAATCCTATAGTCTATGGCCTGAAGACCAAACAAATTCGTGACCATGTCCTGAAAATGTTTTTCTACAAAAAAACTCTTGAGGCCCTCCCTAGTGGCGCAGCAGGTTAAAGCACAGCACAAAGAAGCTTAAACCACTTCCGCATGAGTTCAATTCCCGCCTGCCCAGGAGGTGACCACATGGCGAGGCAGACCTCTCCCGGCCTGCCCTCTACTCCCCTCAGCAGTGTACTTCATCAATCTGTCTGTTCTATTCCCTGCTCTGTCTCTGGTGAATCCTCTCACCCTCCGCATCTCTGGCCTGCTTCCCAGTTCTGTATGAATAAATAAATAAATCTTAAAAAAAAAAAAACACTCTTGACTATCATAGATAGCTTTGATAGCTATATTAGGTTGATTTAGAGGAGCAACCTGAGATTATAAAAGTTATTATATTTTCCACAAGTATCTACATCTGAAACTATTTAAACAAATGAGCAAACATTTAAGAATCTTGGTTTGTTCTGTATATCAGAACAGAACGCTAATACTGAGGCACCAGGTTGTTTCAGTTAGTCTTCTCTTTCTGACTGGTTCTTTCAAACATACATATGCCACTCTGGTTACACTTAGGTCTACATAGAAAACAAAACTGCAGGAACAACACTTGATTCCAGGTATCTTCTAAACAGGATGTCACATATCAATAATCTCAACCTGTTATTTCAACTGTAGCTATAATTTTGACTGTCTCATTTTCTCATAACAATGTGTGATTCTATATTATGACAAATTTGAAATCACTTATCTAATTTTATCTACTTTCTCTGAAATACTAGAGACTATAAAATTAATGTAAACTTAATAATACAAACATTAGCACCAGAAAAAGTTATAGAATGCAATGCAGAGTTTATGAATCCTGAGGCATTTACACAGGAGATAACACATAATGACTGATAGAAATACTAGATATAGTTACAGCAACTCTTTTTTATTTTGAAATGACCCACTATTCTGGAGTTAGATAGAAAATGTCCTTCCAGAGTCACAACTTCTCATAATTTAACCCAATTAAAGTTTTAATAAATTTGAAAAATTATGCTTAAAATTGAACATGCAGCTGAATTTCATTGCATTTTAAAATTATCTACTGCAAGTATTTTGAGTATCTGAACTGTGTCTTATTTGTACTTGTATCAACATTTTATAGGGCTATGTCTGATAATTTTTAAAACATTAAGTGACATTGAACTATAAACAATTTAAACAATTTTTAGGCTACTAATTATTATTGGCATAAACTCCATACCTTAAAGTAACATATATATAGCTCAACTGAAATCTCCATACTATAGCTTTTATTCCAATATAATTAAAACAAACAAAAAGGTGATTTGAATAAATTATTATGTAATCCGTATAAAAAGTGTGTGTAAACATAACTGGAGTATGAGAAACAGACTCCTAGACCAGGACTTCACATCTTTCTTTACTCTTTGCTTTTCCCCTGCCCATATACCTTCACATATATCTTCAATTTCCTCCAGGAAGCTGCAGTGGGCTTAGGAGCAGCAGGTTTAAATTGGCTTCAGACACACAGGTGGAGAGCATTTGGATGGATCCAGGTGGAGATCTTTGGAGAGAATTATGTGAAACATGCTAGGTGGGATAACAGAATACCCTCATTGCCTTTAATTTATTTAATCATTTGTTTTTACTAGGTCACATTTCAGATGCCAATAAAATTTGTCATTTTAAAGCATACAAGTCATCATTTTATAGTATATTGTAAAGACTGTACAACTACACCACTATCAATTTCCAAATACTTTCATCATCCTGAAAGAAACCCATGTCCATGAGCATTAACTCAAGTTACTTTCTTCCCTGTACCCTGTGCTTGGCCATTACCAATGAATTATCTGTCTCTATGGACTTAACTTTCTGGGAGTTTTATATAAATAAAATGTGCAGTATGAGATATTTTATGTGTGCTTTATTTTGTTTATTATATTTTCAAGTTTCATCCATGGACCACACACCAGTACTGTATGCCCTTAATTGACTATAGTCCATTTATAGATACACCACATTTTTTTAAAAATCTATTTAGCAGTTGATAAGTATTTTATTGTTTCTCCTTCCAGGTTATTACCCATAATAAAAAATATTCTTAAAAATCATTTTGAAGTTATTTGTTGTCAATTTAAAATTAGTCCAGTTAGCATTGTTTCAGAATTTTCTCCATATATATTCATTTTCAAGGGTGTAGGAATGGACAAAGGGACATTTTGGTCCAATCATGTCTCTAATGAAACATGGTAAGACCAGAGAGGAGTAAGAATATAGAGTTGCCTATCACAGGCATAAGTGCTGCTACAAATTTTGTTTGGTGTTAATGTTAATTAATGCATTTCAATCTGACAAAATACTTAAATGCTATGAAGATGTTTTGAATATTTTTGTAAACTTAAAATAATTACAATAAAAATAACACTATAGCTAATGTAACTTTTTTAAAACTGAAGAAGAATGTGTAAAAGATTAATAATATTTGACTTTGGTAAGATTATGGGTATATTTATGCCTCATGTGTCTTTTCTACATTAATTAATTTAATATGAGCTATAAAAGCAAAATACATATTATTTAAAACTATAAATTAAAGATGTTCAAAAGTATACTCATTTCCAAACCGTTCTCCTTCTTCCCCTATCTTTGTTGGTTGGAAATGCATTATCTATGATGCATCACCAATTTTACTGTTTTTTTTTACCAACCTTTCCTCCCTAACCTGCTCTCCTTAAGGCTTCCAAACACACTGACTCTGAATCTGAATCTCCATGGGATGACCAAGATTAAACAAGAACAGGCAACTGTTTTATTTCCAATTATCTGTCCTTAAAATATATGCAATAAAGCTGGCCAACTTAGCGTGGAGTTCCACGCTATCTACTACTCACTTGGTGTTCCATTTCCCTTGTTCCACATGGGAGAACAAAAGGACTCAAATCTCTGGTAAAATGAGCAGCACAGTAACACTCTCTGGGTCAGAGAAGGCGCTTCAACACTGCCCTCTCCTGACCAGGCGAGGCATATCAGGCCCTCTGGGAATTAAACAGTCCTAAGGGATGGAGATTGTTCCCCTGGCCTTAAACCTCCTTCTTTGGTGAAGGGAATGCAAATTATCTCTCAGAATTTTAAATAAAAGACTAAATGGTGGATTTTAATTAGAAGGGAATATTATGTTAGACAACAAAATTTCCACCAAAAAGCAACCTTCTATGCCAGACACTTCCCACTTCTGCTTCTGGATACCAAGTAAGTGATTGGGAATGAGGAACAAGTCAGGAGTATGTAAAATGATAATATTCTGACATGTAGACACAAGTAAATTCAGTGAATACAGATTCTACAAAATACTCAAAATCATAAAAGTTAGAGAGTATAAATATATATTTGATAGAATTGTAGTTCTGAGGACTGCAATTCAAGCACTATTGTGATAAATTGGAGAATCTGCTTTGGAAGTCTGAGAGGTTAAGGGCAGTTAGCAGCTTGCTACTGAAAAAATTGCTACTGGTATTAGTTACTGAAACCTGCAGATGCTTTACTCAAAGGAAAGGATCATGCATGACTTGAAGTTTGTGTACTTATAGCTGAAGACACATGTGGGTAGTGGTTACAGTTAAATATAAGAAGTTAAATATAAGAAGGTATTTCTAAAAGTCAGAGTTTATAATACTGAAGGGATCAATATATAGAGAGTCAGCCACCAGGAAGCTATAGTGAAGAATTATTATATTTTGGGAAAAAAATTTAGTGGCATAATTTCTAAAACATTTCAAATGGAGTATTTATTAGTAGAAATCAGATTGCTCCATGAGGATTAACAACTGAGATGAAAAATTGCACAAAATGAAGAATGATGTAAAAAAGTAAAAAATAGAATAAAAAAGAAATCAGATTGCTGGGGGAGGTCTTTAAAACACTTGACAATATTTGGAGGTGATGATTTATGGAAATATGTTCTGGAATACTTAGGATACTTTTTAAAATTTTATAGACCAGCTAAATTGAGAAATAGGCAGATATCACCTAGGCAACCTTTCTACTCTAAATTGAAATAAAATATGTATTAATTTATGGATAGTCTTGTCAACCTGTCAGTTGAACTATATATTCTTCCTCGTATTTTGTTATTGGAAATGTGAAGTGTTCCAGGCAACAGCCTTTGTACTACAATTTGTTTTGGTGTCTTCTCTCTCTTATACTGCTCCTCTGGCATTTCCACCTGAATGTGTATGTATTTATCAGCTGTTCTTACTGGAATATCTTGAATATTTCTTTTTACCTTTTTAAAATTTATTTATTTATGCATACAAGAACTGGGGTATAGGCCAGAGGTGCAGGGGTGAGAGGATTCACCAGAGGCAGAGTGGAGAGCAGAACAGGTAAACTGATGATGTACACTGCTGATGGGAGCAGTGGGCAAGACAGGAAAGGTCTGCTGAGCCACCTCTGGGATGAGGAATCAAGCTAAAGGGGCTTCCTCCTTAGTGTTGCACCCTAACATGTTTTGCCACTACGGAGGGCCCCATATCTTGGATATTTCTTAAGGAGATCCATCTGATTTCTGCTTTCACAGAGGGTTAAAAAACTGGAAATTTCTACATCTTGTCAGCAATAAATAGCCCTAATTTTTACCTAAGTGTTACCTCTTTCAGCAATGCCTCTTTATGGAAATCTAGGCTTCCAACCTAACCACTCACTGAGCCTTATCCCTAGCCACTCTAGCCTCTCCTTCCCTGCTCTCCTGGTAAGACACTCAAGGTCTCTGTTGCACACCAGGCACATTTCAACACTCTTCATTGTGTTAACTAATCTTTCAAACTGCACAAAAATGACTGAAAGGTGCTGTCTGTGCTTTGCCAACGAGAAGTCTCTATATAAGCTTTGTTTCCTACATCATATTTCCACAGTAACATGCAAAGTTATGTGGCAGTCATTGGATGAAATCTGGGATCTGCAGCAAAGTCCTAGCTGAAAATTTCTTGGTGAGTTCAGGATGAGAAAAGATATTGATTGGTAGAGTCATAATCCTAAAAAGGGACCATCAATGGATATTTTGTTAAAGGAGTATTGGTATATTTTATAGAAATAAGGGGAAAAGTACAGAGGGACAGAAAAGTGAGGTTAAAACTCTAGTGAATTTTATTGTTTGTGTAAAGTATCTTCTAATTACATATATATATAAGTATAATATATGTATATATATATATATACATATATTATATTTTTTCTGCTTTCTATAAACAGGTTAGAAGATGGAGTAGTAAAAGGAGAAACCCAGTCTTGTATCATAGGGTGACCTTATCACAGGTATGATATGCAGACACTCAGCTTTTGTATTGTGGATATCACTGAGTGTGTGGGGGAGGGTGATTTTGTTAAAGTGCTTACTGGGGAACCTTTTCATGGGTCTTCATATTGGCATTTTCTCATCCATTTAAAGTGATGAGTAAGCTGTTGAAGTTCACTCACCTATTTCTGTGATTCAGTCATTGGTGATTGACTGAGAAGAGGATATTAGAGGACAGAGAATCACATCTGGCAAACTTCTGCACTCTTTCTAAGAAGCCTCTGAACTGCCATGCTTACCACAAGTGCCTTGCTATACCTGCCTGCCATTCTGACCTTTATTGGGATCCTGGGTCTGGAGTCAGTGCAGTGCTGGGTTGGGATTCCATTCTGTCATGTACCTCATTGCTTTGCTGGGAAATTCTTTACTTTTGACCATCATTAAAACTGAACCTAGTCTCCATGAGCCCATGTATGTCTTCCTGACCATGTTGGGGGCCACAGACATTGTTCTTAGCACCAGCATTGTCCCCAAGATGCTTGGAATGTTTTGGTTCCACTTGCCAGAAGTCTATTTTGATGTTTGCCTCTTAAAGATGTGGCTCATCCACACATTTCAGGGTATTGAATCAGGAGTCCTACTGGCCATGGCCCTGGACCACTACATAGCAATTTTGCTACCCCGAGGCACACTATCATATTCACTCAACAGCTAGTCACTTATATCGGGGCTGGGGTGACATTGCGGCCTGCCATTCTGGTCATCCCCTGCCAACTGCTCATAAAATGTCGTCTGAAACTCTTCCGAACCAAGCTGATATCTCATTCTTAGTGAGAACACATGGCCATCGTGAGGCTTGCTACTGAAGATGTTTACATCAATTAGTTCTATGGTCTCCTAGGAGCCTTTACTGTTGGTGGCCTTGACTTCATTTTGATCATCCTCTTCTATATACAGATATTTATCGCTGTCTTCCACCTGCCCCAGAAAGAGGCACACCTTAAGGCATTTAACACCTGTATTCCCCATATATGTGTCTTCTTCCACTTCTATTTTCTTGCTTTTTTCCTCTTCTTTACTCACAGATCAGGATCTTACATCCCATCATATATACATATTATACTGTCCATCCTTTACCTACTGGTTCCACCGTTCCTCACCGTTCCTTTGTTTATGGCGTGAAGACCAAGCTTGTCTGAGATAAAGTGGTAAAACTGTTCTGTTCCAAAGACCAGCCTTGACATTTGAGGGGAAAATTCCTCCAGTGAATTTAAAAACTCATTTATTGGATGTCTGTGGTCTGGAAATCCAGTCAACGGATAGCATCAAGCTTGATGAATAAAGTTATTAATATACAAGTGAGTGTGCTAAAAAAATTCAATCATTATCACCATCGTGATAATCATGTTCATTTTCATTTGTGAAAAAGTTTTTAAAGATTTATTTATTTATGCATACAGAACTGGGGTACAGGCCAGAGTTGGAGGGTTGGTGAGAGGATTCACCAGAGACAGAGTGGAGAACAGAAGAGGCAAATCCACAAAGTATTCTGCTGAGGGGAGCAGCAAGCAGGTCGGGAGAGGTCTGCCCCACCATGTGGATCACCTCCGGGCTGTAGATCAAACTCATGCTGAAGCAGCTTTAGCTTGTTAGTGCTGTGCTTTAACCCGTTGCACCACCAGGGAGGGCCCATTTGTGAAAATTTTTATTACTCCTCTTATGCTTAAGTACCACTACTTTTCAGGTATTATTAATAATAATTGTACCACTACTTTTCAGGTATTATTAATAAAAAATATTAAAATACAAATTTAAGTATTTTTTATGATCCAATATGTGCTAACTTTTTGTTGACCTATGGCTTGTTGAGTGTAGTGCTATTTATTTCTGTATGTATATTCAGTTTGGTTGGTAATGTGCAAACCTCACCTTTGTTTTCAGCTTATGATTGGAGTGTGTTAAAGTGTCCCACTATGGATGTGGTTTAGTCTGTTTTTTTCTCTTAGTGTTACTGAGTTTTTGATTGGTCTATTTTTAGACTTTTAGTTGTTAGAAACCTTCATTTATTGAGATAAGAAAGATTTGAAGTTAATGTACCTTCTTGGTAGTTTCAACTTTATGACACGGAAATATTTCTCTTTTTCTAGTAATGTGACTTGATGTCTCAGTTTTGTTATTTTCTACTAACCTCTCTTCTAATCCTCCAGTTCTGTCTTCAGCTCTAGTTCTTCTTTGCTGAATTATTAGACTTAGTTTTTGTAAATTTATAGTTTCATAATACCCATATGATTTTTATAACTCTATCTTTATTTTAATTGCATTTTTTAGTATATTTTGTCTATATGGTACAATTCCCTTTCTGTTCTTTGCTTATTTATCTATCTGTCTACCTATCTATATATAATCTATCCATCTATTATCTAACCCACCTTTCATCTTTTCCTCTATTTCTGTGAATATGCCAACATCACTACTTGAAAATTCTTGACTGATAATACAATAAATATGATTGGATTTATTTCTATTAATTGCTTTTCTCCTTGTTTTTGAACTCAGGTTTCTATCTCTTGCTATATCTAGTAATTTCTGATCAGGTGTCAGACATGGTATATAAAATTTCTTTGAAGGACAGATGAAGTTTTATTTTCTACCGATAGTTCATCTCTTTAATGTGATAAGTTCCATACAGGATTCATTATCTTACATTTAAAGTTTTGCCTGCTAGGGTGGGCTTTCAACTGCACTGTGTGCAAGCCAGGAAAGGCTGCCAAAAACTCCACCTAC